TAATATTTCTTTTAATATCAGGTACGAGGACCTCCAGAGTGTTTCCATGGGAACAGTAGATTACCCAACCCCCAGCTGCTCAGTGATGTCATCAGGTGACCTGGCCAATGGGGTGGGCCCCGGCTCCATGGCTCCACCCACAGCGAGGCTCCCTCCGAGACTGGTTGCGAAGGAGGCGTGGCCTCAAGGCCCCGAAGCAGGCAGGGATCAGCCCCATCCTCAGGACCAGAGCTGGGACTCCAGGGAAAGAGGCCCCAACGCCTGGGCCCCGGGTCGAGACCGACCCCACGAGCAGGTGTGGAACTCCGGCAGAGAGCGAGCGGGACACTTGTGTCCAGATCAGACATGGATGTCAGGCAGGGACAGAGCTCATGGGGGACAGGAGCAGGCCTGGATGACGGGTCAGGACAGGGGACCTGAGCAGGGCTGGGCAGCCGGCAGAGACCGAGGCCAGGATCAGGCCTGGAACGCCGGCAGGGATCCAGGAAGAGAGCAGGCCTCCTCGGGGCCGGAGCCGGCGTGGGGATCGGGCCGAAACCAAGACCAAGTCTGGAACAACACGAGCAGAGACAGAGGACACGTCTGGAGACCAGGTACAAAGATCCCAGACTCACAATTTCTCATTATTGTGTTGTCACATATCTCAAGTTATGAATAGTATTTCTAGGACATTTTGAAAGTTGGACTCAGTTATACTACCAGTTATTTATCCTGAGTCTCTGTTTATTATGCTTTTAGTTGAGTTTTTATAGTTTAATGTTCAAATGAAACTGTCCTAAAAGTGTATGCTTGAGTCTATAGATACAAGAGTACAGCAGAAGGAATAAAATGTGAGAGTGTGATGTCAGCAGATTTGTGTTTGTGTTTGTTTTATGCTGATTTGTTGGTTTTGTTCTTCCTGTGTGTTTTTAAAGAGCTGAACATGAAGAAGGTGCAGAGAGCAGAGATGGAGCAGCCACCAGAGAGCAGAGACGCCTGTGAGTTCACAGTCTCATAGTTAACCACAACACAACCATCGACTGTGAATAAAAAAACATTAATTCTTCTACTTTGACATAAAAATAATGTCAGTGTTTGAATTTATTGTGTAAATCATTTAATATCTGTTCCGCAACCTTCAGGGAACAAACACTCTAAATCTACCACGTTTACACTGG